ATCTCTCTCCGGTCATATCGGCTACCGTCCCATCGGATATATGACAGTGAGGGAATAGAGAGTGCACTAGTGCTTGCGCATACACTCGTGCACTATGTTCCCGTCGGGCGCAGATGGCTAGTGTCCGTTCAGACTGGCCGCCGTGATCGAAATTCGGTCTGGGGGACATAATTCAATCCAATAGATAGATCCATTCATCAAAGTCCATTGCTGAACATATTATTTTCTTTTTCTTTTCTTTGTCTTTCTATTATTTCTCATTAGGGGGATATTTACCATAGTTGCCACGCTAATTAGGCGGGTCAACAAACTCTGTTACTATTTTCCGCTTTGTTAAAAAAATTTTAAGTTTTTTCTTTTCTTGGTTTGGTTTAAAGAAAAAAATTTAATTTTTTATTTTTTATTTTTTTGGGGGGTTATACTTTTTTTTAAAAAATTTTTTTAATTTTATTTGAATAAAACACATTTTTCTTTATCACACTTTTTCTTACCCCATAATTTTAATTTTTGTTTTAAGTTCTGATGTTAGAGCCCTGAGTAAGGACCGGATGCATCTTACTGGGTGCTTTACACAGATGGTAGATTTATATGGTGGAGCCACGCTACAGCTTTGGACATGGAGGAAGGACCACGATCTCACAGAACGCCAGCATAAATTAGCGTCTCAATGCTATGCTGTATTTCGTATGGTAAGCGTATGGAACTGGACATCCATTTTACTGGTAACGAGACAAGTCCTCACGGTCACGGGTGACATCTACATTTTGATTCCTAATCGATGATAGATGTAGTGATGTAGGTGTCCACGGGCCATAGTATCCACTTATCATATGATCTGTGAGCTTGTTTGTCATTCGATTTCTATAAATAGTCTTGCTGACGATTTTTTTTTATATATTCTATTATTTTTTTAAAAAAATTAGTACAGCTGATCGTTTTTGTATAAACTTATGCCTATTATTCCCTTCGATCCTATGCATATTTTCTGGTATTGCCATCAATACCTGGGCTTTGTCTAATACCTATAAAAATTATTTGGTATTTACACAAAAAACATGGGTAGCCTAGGTAAACCTAGATTTATTATACCTACTACCGCTAACATAACTTTCGAAGTTTTAACAGAAATCATAGTTTTGCATTTTCGTTCCGTCCATCCATTACAGCCTGTAAAAGTTAGTTGCTGAACATAGGTCTCACCCGTAGATTGCCTCATAGGGATTTTTCCAGGCTTGGTAGGCGAGGCAGCAAGCCAGTTTTTTTTAAATTATTTTGAGCTGTAATCAGTAAGATGCTGCTGCTCATCTTCTGTGTTAATTTTACTCTGTCACCTCTTACGACACCCACGGGACAATACGGGATAGTGGATATTTTTACATCGCAACTAGGTACACGTAATTCTTACTAATCTTACCCATTTTATTTTAGTACACCTAGAACCCTGCTTCCCTAATACTTTGAATTTGCCACAGAGGTTCTCTTTCTCTCTCTCTCTCTCTCTCTCTCTCTCTCTCTCTCTCTTATTTATAACTGTCTAACGCGAGATAGGAACTTTTCATAGCCCATAGAGAAGCTGGTTCAATCCCCTTGGCACCATTAAAATTACAACTTTAAGGACTAATTTACTTCGTGCTCAAATGTAAAGCAACATCTTGAGGATAGCTGCATGTCTAAAAGACATTTAAAACATTTCAAGTTTCAAGGAAATGTAATGTGCACCAATTAGCACTGGTACAGCGTGACACACTGTTCCTTCCTCTTACTAATAGCAGGAGATCTGTGGTCAGGTGTTCATGTATAAATTATAAACTTTAACGCTCATAAATAACTAAATAATAAAATTTTGCGTTCAGAAATAAGGCTATATTCAGGAAGAGCGACTTTCATCGATATATATCGATCAACTGATTTTAAGTTTGATAAACATAATGATTAGCCAAGATCTAAGTATTTTTTAAAATACAACAAACAGGGTCGACAAACGAGTTCACCTCATGTCAAGTGGATGCTGTAGCCAATAGTCATATTGGTACATCTATACTCAATGAAGAATGAAAATGCACCCCTGAGGACTAACGTGGAATAGCTTTGTTTTTGCAACGACAACTTGCAAACTAAAATAAATATATATGCTAATGTAGCAGTAATTATGCGAGGAGATAAGATACAGCAGTTTTTGTAGTTGTTAATTAATAATTTTCTTTATCTACGTTTTTATAAATAGCTAGTCAGATAAATATTTACCTAATTATAAAGTTGATGCGAATTTTTAAAACTACAAACGACCTTAGAGTATACATAGGTATATATTCTAAGAAAACTACTGCTATTGATTTTAAACAGTAATTATTTAGTTTATAGCCAGTAGCAAAAAATAATACAGAAAAAATAATAATTAGGTAACAATATCGTACGTATAATATGTAAATAAGATCAAACTGAAGTTTTAACCTACGGCGCTTGTTAAATTTAACATGAACAGTTTGTTTTTAACGTATTTAATGTACCTACCTAAGTAAAACAGGCGTGAATTTACTGTAAGAGATATACCTATGTATGTATGTAACTATTGTTCTGTAAACAAATTACAGAGCTGTTCCAACAAAGAAATAGTTCAGTTTCAATGGAATTTTAAGTGCACCATTACTCAATACATCGACTGTACGATTGTAAAATCATTCCATTACAAGACAGCAATAAACCCGAATGATCCAAGCCTGATTTTACAACAAGAAGCCAGACGAACAAATCCTCTACGATTCGTACTGTATTTAACACATTGAATTGACAGAACGTGACCTAAACAACACAGATAATCGTGTATATCTATGTACTTACCTCGGTAGTTTCAATTCTCTCTGAATATTGCAGTTCTCACACAATCGTTGTTGTAGAGAATTACTATACGATGAAAATAATATGTCAAATAATTGATGATTTGACAGCAATCGAATATTTCGCGCCCGCGGTATTGTTTCGCGCGTTTTTTACACACCGACACAAACTAGACGACGCGTTCTCGCGGACTGTGGAAAAGTGGAAATCCAATGTGTGGCTGTGGCCGAAGAGCAGGTGACGTTAACCACGCTTGCGCGGCGACGGCAACCAAGGTCGTGCGCTAGAATAAGACAGATAGCGTATTCCCTTGTAATAAATGGGCATTACAAATTACACAGTTTATAAAACACTAAATTCAAAACAACGCTATAAAATCTTGACATCTAGATACGTCAGTAAAATAGACATTGAATCAGTGGGTTTATTTATTTCATAACATGGACACTTTTTATGTAGGCTGTTAAGAGAAATTTCTGGGACAGTAGAAAGAGATGTCAGATCTGTTACTCTATTCTTGCTTGTAATTCATTCATAATTTTCGTGTCCCAATTACACTGTTATCAATTATAATAATTAATATTAATGCATTCACTATATATAAGAACAAATACAGACTAAGTATCAATTTTACAAAAAGGTTTTATTGAAAACAAAACTTAGTAACAAATATTTCTAATAAATAAGTATAATGTACAAATACCTTAAAATAAAAAAAAACGCAAATCAAAATTGATTTATGAAACTGGTTAAGAATACTATTTAAAAACGAAAAAGCAGACATCTAAACATAAGATTAAAAGATAATTTAACTTAAATTTAAAAAACTTAAGCATCAAAAACTAATTGAGCGTTATTAAACTAACACATAATGTAATTATATAGACATTACAGGAATAATAGCAGAAAGGTACCTTAAATAATTGTTGTTACAAGATTTAAGGATATATAATCAATTTATGTATTATCTAACTAGAGGTTCAATGGCATAGCAAGGGACCCTCCCTCCAGGGAGCAGGAGGATCATGGCATTGGCGTCAATTTGGTTGATAAGTTAGCTTCTCGTCTTAATTGTTTAAATGATTCCAGTAAAATCCTCAAAATCAGAAAAATTTTAAAAGTTTTTGATTAAAATAACTTTTGATTTAGATATAACAGCATTAAAAATTCTGAAAATTGAGATAATTTGCACACACACTTGGCACTTGAATAACAATGCATGTATATATAGAACTTTTACCTATACTATATTTAAAGATAAAGATACTTGCGAAAATGATAAATGATGGGGAGCGGCAAATAGCCTTGCTACGCCACTTAGGTTGACTTAAATAAATACATACTTACTTTTGCAAAGACTCCTATGCGACAACAGAAAACACAACAGTTAGGTTAAGTATTATACACAGAAGTCTTTGTATTTTAACAATAAAACATCGCTGAAATAAATTAATTAGTTCTTGGCCACCACCAAAATTAAACACGTTACTAACTTAGGTAACATTGATTAAAACGTAAATGTATAAGTATAAAACTTAATTTCCCGTTAACAACTAGTTAATACTTACAACTAATATAATAATATATGTATGTAACAAAGGACTGGTTTATGCAATAACGTTTAAATCTCTCCATCAAAAATGACAAAATAATTTATAAACCACAATATTCTCTCATTATATTGAATAAAAATAAATTTAGAGACACGCAAAGAGCGTTTTAGGTTATGTATGATCAGTACACGATTGAATAACATTGTGATTTGTAACAGTGTAAAGAAAAGTAAGAAATATATTGGCATGATAAAAATGAAAAATCATTATGTACCTATCATATCAACACTTGTCATATAATCCATTAATGTTTATTAATGTAATGGCTGTAATGCAATGTTAAAATTTTTTTTCATGAATATATGAAAGTAGAGAAAAGTTTATAAATCAATTTGTATAACATTTTTTTTCGACAAAAATCGCTTCTATTACTTACTCGAATAACTGTAAAGTTTTGCATAATGGTTAGGCTAATTAATCAAAAGATTAGGTGCATAGTGCGTTCTAATACCAGTTATTTAACAATTACAATCTTATAACTAAACAACTACAGCGTTTAAATCAAATTAATAGGACCAGCCTTTAAAATCAATTCTCACCACCTAGGTTCTCTCAGTCATTAGCAACAAGCAAGGTTTTGGCGGATGGTATTTCTAACTCGTGAGTATCATGACAATGCCTTTTCAGTTCGGAATATTTTCTAAATTTCGAGCCACATATAAGACAGTCGACTATCATTTTTCTAACATTATGAATGATCCATTCATGGTCCCACTTTTCCTTTAACGTTTTGAAATATTTGTGGCAAAATTTACAGCGGAATCTGGCCGCCATTTGTTTGGTGTGCGCGCATTTAATATGTTTATTTAGCATTGATTCGAAATGAAACTCCTTGTCGCAATAAAAACAAGGAATAGGTGAATTGTTTTTGTGGTACTCCATGTGCTGTGTGATCATTTTCTTCGAATTGAATTTTCTTTGACAAAGATCACACTGAAAGTACCTGACGCCGTGAACTTTTTTATGCTTAGAGAAGTTACTGGAATCACTAAAAGACTTATTGCAGAACGTGCATTGATACAGAGTGAGTTTAGCGTGTTCGCGTAAATGTGCCTTATATTTATCTACTCTAGAGAAGGTTTCCAAACGGCATACCTCGCATTGCATGATGAGGGTGCCGTTTTTGTTCACTGGATTCTTAGCTAGAGTGCTTCTAATAACGTGTTCTATGAGATGCCTCTTCAAATCTCCAATCCGGTCGAAGGACTTAAAGCAGACGTCACAAGCCTAAAAAATTAAAGAAATTTTTGAAGAAATTTGAAATGAGAACTTTGAGATATAAATATATTTGCAACTTTTTCAATAGTATTAGAAAAGGTAAATTCGAACACTGACCATACAATAGAAGCCAACGGAGCTACTAGACAAAACTTCTGCAATATGTTTTTCAAAATAAGAGGAGCAAACGAGCACACAGTCCACCCCATGGTAAGTGGATGCTATGACCCATGGACACCTACATCTATCCCCGATTAAGAATCCTTGACGACTAAGATGGAATGCCTCGCTTCCCGTGACAAAGTGTTTTCGATTGACAACACTCACCATACGAAGCACAGCAGCTGATAGGCACAGAGCATGATCATACTACGATCAAGCCGACCCATTCATGCTACAACCATAATATGAATGCAGCATGGCTTTATCACAAGATGTCTATGTCTGATACACATGTGTAGCTTGCTCGACTTTACAGGTTAATTAGCTAAACTACAAGTATGGTACCGTAAAGTAGCCACCACTAAAATATAACTATATCATATGACCATGTTAGAGAGTCGATATGTTTTTAAATATAAAGCAGCCTGCTCTATATCTAAAAACGTAATATCGACATTGTAAAATTAAAGTTTTATTAAAACGTTTTACATTTTTTGCATGTTTCACGTTAACACCGATTTCAAAGAAATAAAAGAATGAAATAATTTCTACTTATTAGCTTATGAAGTCGGACTTTAATTATTTTTACACAGTGTGTTTTAGTAACTACTACGGAATACAATCAAGAAAAAATAATTAATATAACGCTGAAGTCGCTTCACATTTTCTTAGGTTTGTCGTCGTTATCAACTTAGATTTACCAACCATATTTTTTTAAACGTTACCTACACTCTAGGAATTTCGCCTATATCGTGGAGGTAGTTTACATACATAAATTGCACAAGGACAAACATCCAGACTCGGAACTATAACTTGTAGGCCATAAAAATACTTTCGTTCCGTGCGGGATTCGAACCCGCGGATCTCAGCGCTATAACGTTATAACTCATTAAGCTAATAATTCATATAATCATAACAGACCGTGTAGTGGCCGTGTTTGAATGTCCGCTACTCCATATCTTCCTGAGGGTGTCGTAAGAGGCGGCAGAGGCAACACGAACCAGGAGACAGGCAGCAGCGTGTTCCTGATAACAACTCCAATTAAAAACTACGGATGCCAACCCTGCTTGCCAAGCTTGGCAAACTATGAGAGAGACCTATGTTCTGCAGTGGACTTTTATAGGCTGTAAGGGATGGAAGGATGGATGGAAGCATTAATAGGACCTATATGAGACTGCTTCTTGTCACCAGTCAGAGAATACATTTACCAAATACTTAGGCTCAATTTACACTGCTGCGGAACGGAATGGAAGCGAATTTTCGTAACGAAATTGTACATAGTAAAATGAGTCTTATGTTAATTGTGTAACGCGCAAACTAGATATAAGCCATTTCCACAATCTTTGTCTACAGAATTCCCCGGAAGTCACGCGATTTCTTTTTTACCTCATATCCAGTTTGCGCGTTACAAAATTAACATAAGACTAAATTTACTATGTACAATTTCCTTACAAAAATTCGCATCCATTCCGTTCCGCAGCAGTGTAAATTGAGCCTTAGTGGTCAGCCACCTCAGAGTCTACTTCATCTGAGGATGCCTCGTGTAGAGGCAAAACACGTGTGGTGTGTCTTTCCTAATGTAGTAGTGGGAGGAGTAATGGTGCTGGGATTAGTGGTGGCGGAGATAGTGCCACGCAATTCATGGAGAGCGAGAGGTGCTCTTCAAACTGGGTAGGTAAGACATATAATTTTTTTTACTTATATCTTAGCTTTTTAATTTTTAACGTCTTTAATTTATGAAATAGCCGAATTTTGAAAAATTTAATATCGATGCTTGCTATTGTATAGATTTCGTAGCAAGCGTGGGCGCTCAAATAAAAGGCGTACTAAGAAATATTAATATTTCATAGTACGCCAAATATCGTACTTTGATCCCGACCAACACTAAAATTGTTAATGGCGTTTTCAAATGCCGATTTACAGCGCGGTCGACGGCGGCATTGAAAATCGTAAGAAAACGTGCATGACTGATAAATTTAAAATTAAACTTTAATAAAAACTAAAAACCGCGTCTTTAAAGAGCTAAAAAGAATACATGCGGTAAAATTAAAAATTTTATCCAACCGACATCAATACAAATAAAATGGGAATTGGTAACATCATCAATGTAGTCGAAGTCATTTAAATACGCATTATTAAGGATAACTCAAAAACTACTGGTCAGATCTTGATCAAATTTATATGGAACCACATGAGAAGCGCGATCTTTCAAAAAAAATATTCCTCAAAATCGGTTCAAAAAACAGTTCGGAAACAGTTCTGATGTAACACACGCATTAAAAAATACTGTCGAATTGAGTACCTCCTCGTTTTTTGAAGTAGGTTAAAATAATTACATAATATTCTACAGTCAGTACTAAGACAATATAGTTAAAGCCTCGACTTCAGAACGTGAAATTAATTCATTCTTTTTAGTTTTCTTAACCGCTTTTACTTATTTTTGATAGACTAATTTTAGACCCTTTTACGTGAAGGAGGAATATGTAAAATATACAAATATATAGAATTCCGACAACGCATCTGCAATACCCGTGGTATTACAGTTGTTCGAGGGCGGCGGTACTATCAGGTGAGCCGCATCCTCTTTTGACCCCTCTTCTATAAAAAAATCAGAAGCTGAAGATAACTTCTAGAATGTCGTCTAAATTATTCATACCGTTTTTCAAATAGACTACGCAGGAGTAGATTTGGTAGTCTAGGTAGGGAGAAGAATAGATTAGGGTAAATTTTTTCTTACATCTGATTTATTTGGGACCGCACCTAAAGTATTAATTATTGACGAACATTATGTATACAGAACATACAAAAACATACAGTCGAATTGAGAATTACCTTATTTTTCTTCCTCTAAAATACTATATATTTATATATATATATATAAAATATATATATATATATATATATATATATATATATATATATATATATCTGGGATTTTCTCCTGTATCGTGGAGTGGAGTTTACAAACATATACAGGGACAAACATCTAGACCCGTAACGATTACTTGTAGACTATACAAATACTTGTTCCGTGCGGGATTCGAACCCGCGGCCCTTAGCGCTGTAACTCATTGCTAAGCCACTGCGCTACGGAGCCGTCAACCTATATATATGTATGGTTTGGCAAATAACTGATTCTTCCTCCGAGTCCAAATCATTGAGTACGTTATTAGACACTGAAAATCCTTTACGTGTAAGAGGAGCAAACGAGTGTGCGGCTCACCTGAAGGCAAGTCACTACCGCCGCCCATGTCTGCCATGAACAAATAGTAGGGGATTTGCAGGCACGTTGCCGGACTTTTGAAAAAGAGTACGCTCTTTTCTTGAAGAACCCTCCGGAAAAATCGCTGGTGGTAGCCGTATCCACAAGGAAATCTTGCGAGGAAAAAACTTCTAGTAGATCGTATAGTGGTTTACCGCAAATCATACAGATAATACGGATGGTATCTAGAGTTTTGTCGCGATGTGTGGTGGTAAACTCCGAAACTCCAAATGCTTCTCAGAAATAAGAGAAAGCCATAAATAGAGATAACTATCAATTGGAGGCCTTAGTTTTTTATGTATTTTTCTGAGTCGATACTTACGACAACAGTTCGAGACAAGTTCATTGGACACTTACGATGCCATCACCCTTGGCTTTTTGTTAGTCAGGTATCATAATTGTTATTTGATAATTGTATGAAAGACACTCAATATATTTAGTGTGTTATTGACCTATCTTTTGTAATGTTTTAATTATTATAAAGTAATAAAGTACCTTAATAAAACGATGAAAGATTATTTTAAAAACAATGTAAATCTTATTAAATAGATAAGATATTTAAATAAAACATTGATAAGACAAACAAACAAAACTAACCTTTTTGTATCTTTTGTGTTTCCTAGCCTTCTTTGCATGAAGTAGAAAAACTTTATTAGACATCACTTTAGCTATAATTGAATTGGCCTCTCTTATTTTCTCTTGGGTGACGTAGTTTTCGTTCACAGGATTTATTACTTGTACTTTTGGGCATGGCGTGTTCGTTTTGGTGACAACGTTAGTGTGTGTGATGCCATTGTCGAAAGATATGCTAGAGTCCGTGTCGGTACTTTCCCGTGGACTCAAATGACATTTCTGGTGCTCTTGCAGATCTTTGTATTTCTTAGTTGTGTAATCACAAGCCTGGCACATGAAGATATGATGTATATTGGCGACGTGAACGATCAAGTTGTCAATTTTCGCGAACTTCTTCGTGCAATAATCGCACGAGTGTTTCCTTAAGTGTATTTTACGGTGGGTGCGTAAAGTGAATTTTGAGGCGAACACTTTGTGGCACTTATTACATTCTAGTTCTGGATCGCCGTGGCCAAGGCAGTGCAGCTTAAACTTCTCCTGGTTTTTCAAGATCTTGCCACATTCTGTGCAAATGTATTTAATTTTGCTTTCAGAAACAGAGACGCGTTTTGCTTTAATGGTTCTATGGTTTCCCCCCATGTGCTGCTTGAAAGTAGATATTTGATCGAATATTTGCTTGCATTTGTCACATTGATATTTCTTCTGGTTGGGGTTTTTGTTGTTGGTGTTTTCTAAAAAAAGCATTGATTCTTAAATTAAAAATAATTAAGACAATTGTCGTGGCTCATCTGTTGAAGGCTCACTTGGCTACTACATCAAGAGTTAACACTTTTGCAAAAATCTAAACTGAGGGGTTCTCAGGTGGGTTCGCCAGAATAGTATTTGGAAATAACATATAAAATATAAATCCCACGACTGATAATATTATTAGCAGTATTCTTAAAACAAAGGTTTTTTTTAAAGAATAATAGACAAACGAGGCATTCCATCTTAGTCCTCAAGTGTGTCAACGCATTTGCATTTTGATTCTTAATCGAGGTTAAATGTAGATATCTATGGGCCACAGCATACACTTACCATCAGGTGGACTGTGTGCTCGTTTGTCACCCCTATCTTATAAAAAAAATATTTCAAATACATGTAAAGACCACAGACACGCCTTGGAGCTGCGCGACGAGATTTTTGATTAAGAGGAGGCCCTCAAGATGATCACCAGTGGGACGTTATATAGGCTGTATGTAACTTTACCTCGACATCAAATTTATAAAAAAATAAAAAAAATTAAATCATATCTTAAAAAACCTACATATATTTATTTTGACTTTATTCTAAAAGCTAACAAATATACAAGAATAGAAGAGATCAGAGGTATTTTATTAAATAGATTCTTACATATAATACATATTGAAAGTAATCTTTTTTTACCTCTGGTTTGGAAAATACCTGTCCTGGGAAGAACCAGCAAAAAACACAGCAAACAATCCAGCGGGATTATATTAAAGAACCTTTTAAAGATTTTTTTAAAGAAACGCTTAAGTGTATAATTCTGCCACCAAATGTCAGTAGTATAATCGTTTTTGTGTGCATATTTGGTATTATGTACCATTTTTTAAAACTATTTAAGTATTTACTTAAAAAAAACAATAACGTAATATCAAAATCGTGCATATGGTATATTATAACCCTGAAGGTTTTCTTTTTTATTTGCAGTTTTATAAAAGCAATTATTTTTGATTAATATGTTCTTACATAAATAATAATTCTTGTTATTTTTGTAATAACATAATATTCTAAAATAAGTACATATTATTAAAATTATATTATCTAAATATTTTGTAATATAGTTGTAGTTTTTTTTATATAAGTTAAGTGACCCACAGCCTACCTAATGGTAAGTGGTTACTAGCCCATGGACACGTGTAGTAAACGAACTTTAAACAAATAAGGCTCCAGGTGCGTTGTCAACTTGAGTACTAAAATGCTTCACAACCTGAAATTATAAGGATACTGGCCCTCTACTCCCTTCAGACCTGAACACAGCAGTGCAAACTCTGCAAAGAAGTAAGCAGGAGGTACCCACACAGACGGGCTTCTAGGTAGAAAAAGGAGTTCTGTCACCTACTTATTTTCTTCTGTAATTTTTACTAACTTAAAACTTTACGAAATCCATAATGACTATGACTTACCAACAATTTTATAATATACTCGTAACTAGCCGAACCCGGCAGACGTAGTCCTGCCAGTCATAGGTTATGTTCAGCAACGTGTTTATTTTAGCGCATACAACTTAATTTATCAATTGCCACGCTTTATTGAAAACAAACAAAATTAAAAATTTTGAATTTTGTTTGTTTCTAAATTTTGTTTAGTCATTTTTTTAGTTTATAAATATAAGCTTATAAACTAAAAAAAATGATAAACAAATATTAAGATTTAGTTTATAATATAGCTAAATGCGCATATAAATATATTCCAATTTTAAACATAGTTTTTAAGTTAAACAATTTCATATATACAGCCAATTTATTACGTGGTAGAGCCATGCTGCAGTTATATTAGTAGTATAGTTGTAGCACGAATGAGTCGGCTCGACCGGGGAGGGACCACGCTCTTTCAGAATACCAGCGTCAAATAGTAGCTTAATGCTGCTGTGTTTCGTATGGTGAGTGTAGAGAACCGGAGACCCTTTTTACTGGAAACGAGGCATTCCACCTAAGTCCTCACGGTTGACAACGCATCTGCATTTTGATTCGTAATCGAGGATAGATGTATATGTCTATGGGCCACAGCAACCACTTACCATCAGGTGGACTGTGTGCTCGTTTGTCATCCTATCCTATATATAAAAAAACAAATATATTAAATATATAAAAGAATAAATATAGTTGTATTATGACTTACCAACAACTAATTCATGATCAATGTCATTGCTTCCAACACACTCCAAAAATGGATCGTTCACTGCAATTTTCTGGATGGTTTGTCCAGATTGAGAGTCATGACCTAAGAACAGTATAGTTTTATGCTGCTTGGACAGTGATTGTATATCCGACGACATCAGCTGTTTTAGTGCATCATTCTCACTCTGCAAGTCTACGTAACGGAATTCTTCTCGGGCTCTTGTTTCATTTTCATTAATTATCTCTTCAGATAGCTGAGATAGAAACACTCCACACTCAAATTCATCATCTTCATACGCATTGTTCGGTTCAGAGTTTTTCTGTTGATATGTATCATTTGTTTGCACTTTTCTAAACTTTTTATGTTCAAATTCTGCAGCCGATGAATAATGATTGGGCTCTGAATAGTTGTATACATTTTGTGTTATATATGTATTATGTTGTTCAACGGTTATATGGCCGGAGCCAGTTTGATGACGATATACTGAGAATTTATCTTTTGATTCTCTCTCGTCGTAATTGTTATACACATACGGACTTCGCATTGGATCTATCCACACTTGGGACTGAGTGTCCTGAGGATAAGAATTTTGATTGCTTGTTTCTGCTACTATTTGTATTTGATCACTATCATTGGAATCAGCCATGGAATTAGAATCAACTTCATGTACATTAACATCGTAACTGTCTATGAGTTTCACATTACAAAAACCTGAGTACAAGCACATTTCATTACCTTCAATGTCCGCTGATGTGATGCTCAGTTCTATAAAGACATCGTCAGTCGCTTCACAGGTGGTTTCTAGCGTGGTACACTTCTTCGGTATAAGCAACACCGGATATAACACCTCAGTGTTCGTGGCAAATTTCTCTTGCTCCATTTTTCTATTGTAAACCTATGTAAACAACGAAAATCCATGTTGATTGCAAACAGCACTTTCATACGCGAAATGGAGGTAAATTTACAAAAAAATAGCACAAATAACGAAGCTTTAATATTTTAATTTACTCACCGCAGATGTTGTTTGTGTCGCGAACGATGGTTGGAAAAAAAGAAATATGGCGGTATGAAAATACAAATGCTTCGAGCAATCATTCCTACCCACATTATAAATTTGTTCAAAAGCAATTACAATTCTGATGAATATTATAAAAAGACTTCAAAATTGCTAAATAAATTAAAACGAATTTAAAATGAAAACCCTTTTTTCGCGCGTTTTGCATTCGCAATTTAAATTTTTTTTTTCATAGTATTTAATGGCATTTATGCTTCTTGGTCACCCGTTAGAAAAAAAATTGAGATTGTCCTCAAAAGAATTACGCAAACGCATTTATCGTTTAACATTTACTTAAAAATAACTTTTTCTAAACCAAAATAAGAAATAAAACTTGATTTTATTTAAAAAAAATCCACAAAACTTCTGATTAATTTATTTCTATGAAGAATCTAAATCCACGCTAAAATAAATATTTTTTAATAATTATTTCATTTTCATAAAGTTGTGCAGTTATCATATTATTTCCATTTATTATGTGTTAATTGACAAAACATGAAACATTGTCAATTGCGCCCTAGAATCTCAGGCAGGGCACTTCCCTTTATTTTATTTTATTACGACGATATCTTGTATTTGACTCCCGCTGCCGGTAATACGTGTTTCCGAAGCCGGAATTAAGAATCTTTATATGAATATATGAATAAAGATACTTTAATAAAATATTTTAGACACAGTATTTAGCGCTAAATAAGTTTATTTTGTAAATTTCGAGGAAACCTGCATGTCTGTAAAATTTAAAAAAAAACAAAGACGTTAATTCACCGCGGCGGACTTTTTGTTGCCTTATATTAAAACCTTCTCAGTAATGAGAGGTCCGTGCCCAGCTGTGGGACTTGTATACGCCGTAATTTTACATTACTTAAAGTTGAAAGTACTATGTTTGACGACATTCAAAAAAGACAATAATTATTAAAAAATATAAACAAAACCATGAAAGTCAAAGTTTCATGAACTGCTAAATTTATCTTAATCCCTAGATATTGTTGATTGACGGATGTTAGATACAGTATTTAAAGCTGAATGTTGGTAAAATGACTTATAATAGTTTTAATATTGCATACACACGCACAATTGAAGTACCTATAAAAATGGTGTCTAGACAAATACTGGCTATAGGCATATTCCTTGTTTATGTTAACGGTATGTATGTATTTAAATACAAATACAGCTTATAACGGCGCATATGTATTTAAATTAAAATACAGTTTAATATTTCTTTACTCATGTGTCTATGTACCATCCCATTTCTAGGCCTGAATTGTCAATTCGTATTGACGGACTTCACATATTATAGAAACATTTTATTTCTAAGACATGCAGGTTTCTTTACCATCGAGCACGTTGTAAATCGTGTTAGCGGGGATCGAACCCGCGTTGCTCGCGTACTGTGAATGCCAAACGGTATCAAGTCCACCCTTTGAAGTCATTTTTTATAAAGGTTATAATAAAGTTAAAATATATAAACTTTTTTCACAAAGATGCAGGTTTCTTTACGATGATTTCCTTCACTGCCGAGCATGTAGTAAAGCACTTAAAATTGCAAGTAAATTTTTACTAGTGTCGGCTTGGATCGAATTCAGATTCCTTCTTTACAGTAAAATTTAGGGCAGTACTTATCCCGCCATTATCACGACACAACTTTCAAATTATTGATGATGGAGCTTGTTTATTTAGGACAATCTCTTTTTTATCTGTTGTATGGGGAAGCAATTTTTGGCTAAATAAATTCGGGAGCAAATTGTGGATTATGTTATTGCGGCTATTTTTTTATTTTTTTATAACATGAAACACGAGTGTTCAATTCGTTACTTGGTACATTTGTTTGTCCGACTATTTTTTCGTTCGTTAGTTTGTCTGATTAACTGAATGTTTTTATCCAGCATTTTAGTATCTTCGCAACAGTAAAAGAAGTGATAAATCAACACTTATCATAACAAAATTACTATTTTAACGCGAACGAAGTCGCTTACACGGCAAGTTTGTAAATAAATTTAGAATAATTATATATTTGCATACTTTTTACGGGTTTTAGTTTCAGTCTAATACATATGCCACGAAGAGCCGTAAATAGTTCACTAGCTTAGCGTTCGATTACGTCATTTCCTAATACTTGTTACGGGCTGATAATGAGAGAAGAAGATTTAGTAGCTAAGCTTATACTTAGAAACAGATGCTTACAATGCCATCTATCGGCCATCCATAAGCATTAAACTTCGCTTCATACTGGACCTGTGTCGATCGATCATTTCTCGTAACCAGGGTCGATTACGACCCACTCGTATGGAGATCGGGTTAAAAAGATTCGATCGTTTCGATCATTTGGGTCGCAGCTCGTTTGTATACTTTGTATGACCGGATGAAAAATGCTGAACGGGTGCTATAATAGTAATAATTCATACTACGATTTGTTTATTGGTTGAATTGTGTGTAAACGAAGGAGACAGAAGACAATTTGTTTATTACTTCGATCGATTATATGTACCTAAAAATATGCAAAATAAATATGTAAATTACATTACATGCACCTTGAAATCGGGTCAAATAAGATCGAATCTTTTAGAGATACATGATTCGATCACTCGTGTACAGGTTGCAATCGAATCAAAAAGATTCGATCAATCGCGATCGACACAGGATTACTTCATACATCACCCATGGATGAAATAGTTGATAGATTCTTATACGCCGCAACCACTATATCATATTTTAGTTATAAGCATGATATAATTTCAGGACACCCATTCAAGAAGCACTACGATTCCGATCCAGAATCACGTATCATAGGAGGCGTGGACGCACCTGAAGCTTACGCCCCGCACATGGCCGCTCTTGTCTGGGGACAATCAATCAAGAGTCTATTATGCGGGGGCTCCATTGTCACCAGCATGCATATACTGACGGCTGCGCATTGTATCGATCCGATGATTGTGGAAGGAGTGCTGATACCGTTAGTAAATTATTACCACTAAAAACTTTTTAATCGACTTAAAAAACGAAGGAGTTTCTTTATTCGACGCGTACATACTTTATGTGTTTTTAAAGTCTCAAACGAAATTACAGTTCAGCTAATGGTAAGTGGCTACTGAGACATATGGATACCTGCAACCAATTTCTAACAATGAAGGTTACAGATTCGTCGTCACCTCTGTAGCCTAAGATACAGGTCAGTAATTATGCGGGCTATCTGTACCCTTCGGACCGAAACACAACAGTGCACTGCTATTTGAGAGCAGAAATAGCACGAGGGTACCTACCCAGAAGGACTCCTTACATCTAAAGAACTCCTACCACCTAGTTATGTATATTCACGATTTTTTTGGAAACAACTGATTCGATTTAAATTATCCTATTTTTTTCTTCAATGTCGGTTGATTTTTATTCAAATATTAATCGGACCAACCATATAAAAAAATCCACCACTAAGGTGGAAACAAGTACTTAAACGATATTCTACTTTTTACTTTAAATTATTCTTGTAAACAATGTTACGGGCTTAATATTTGATAAAAGTAAACAACGACTATAAAATACCAAAAAAAAATCCATATTCTTCTGCTGTGATTATATCGATTGTATACCCATATAAGACTTTTGAACTGAGAACTTTCATTCTTTATGCACTGTATATTATTAGCACGGAGATATACACGGATGTGTGTGTATCATGGACGTCAAAAGATAATATGGAAATTTTCTTTTTAGTTTTTAAAGACGGTTATTCGTTATTACATTTTATTATTATCAAATAACATCACACATAGGCTTTCCAATTTGTTGTTTCAGTTCATTCTATGCTGTCGTCGGATCGAACCAGTGGGCCTCTGATAAAACTATAACTAGGTTCAAGCACTACATCAATCATCCTAATTGGGATTGGGTCACAATTAAAAACGACATCGGGGTGCTGTGCTTAACTGAAGAGTTGGAGCTGAATGATAGAATGTCGACTATACCACTGAGCTTCGACTATGTGGATGGAGGTCTTAACAGTTTCGTCACTGGTTGGGGAAGGGTAGGAATCCGAATTGAAGATAACGTTGTGGTTAGTTATGGACTGTATATTATCTGCGTAATAAGGTTAAATAAATTTACAGCAATGGGAAATGTATCCCGCAGCTAGGGACAAAACTGGGCAAACGTTAGATTAACTAAAGTTGGTTTAACCAAGGTCAGAGTCTACTGAGTTTACTTTCGTAGTCAGTGGTTTGCGAATTTATATCAAAAGTCTTAGATTCGCCTTCTTCTTCGTTAGCCCGTCGGCCGACAGCTGGACGTGGACTTCTCTCGTTGTTGGGAGTTTTCGCCTCCTCACGATTGGCAGGCGATTTGACGATCGCAGTTACAAGCGTTGTGCACCTTTGACGCTGCCATCTGTCTCCAGTCTGTGTATTTTACATCTGGCGTTAATAAATTATACCGCCATCTATCGGAATACGTAGGACTTATTGGCATATCACATAATCGCCATTTACAATACTTGCAAGCGTGCAGTGTAGTATACAGAGCCACACTACAACTATATTAGGGCGGTACACGAACGGGTCGGTTCGACCGGTGAAAAGGATCACACTCTCACAGAATACCAGCGTAAAATAGGAACGAGGCAATCCATACACCTATCCTCCTAGGCCTAAGGGCCTAGGACCTAGGAGGATAGATGTAGTTGTCTGTTGACCACATCATTCACTTACGATCATGTAGACTGTTCGTTTGTCACCCCTATTTTACGGAAAAGAAACTAGTTTGGGGCTTAATAAAGTGTTGGATTCTCTTCTGAATAATTATTTATCTTTTTTGACAGAATTTGTTTCCAATACCTGACGACTTGCAACTGTTGTACGTGGAAACTATATCTTCTGAAGCTTGCGCTGACGGCTTACGGGAGGCGTTCGAAAAATATGGTTACAAAGCGATACCGCCGCTGGTGTCGGAAATAGAGTTGTGCACTTTCCACTCTATTGGACATGGCATGTGTAATGTAAGCCACTAATAATTATTACTATTTTATTACCTGACTGCGTAATAATTAGGTAGTAAGTAGATAGTAGGGTGATGTTTTGGACTGGATATGAGTATATGTATGCAGGCATGTTAACTTCTACTACAGATTTAACTTTAACTAGTTGTCAGTTTGTTTGACAAATGATATTATAGAGTCAGCAGAAAGTATGACGGAGATAAACTGCTAAAAACTTAAATTACAGCCTATATAGGTCCCGCTGCTGGACCCAGGCCTCCTCTTATTTCTGAGAGTGGTTTTAGGACAAGGAAGTGTCCGTAGCGCTGCCACAATGCGGGTAGGCGACCTTCATATGTCTTCAAAATATTTTTTTCTTTCTCAGACATGCAGGTTTCCTCACGTTGTTTTCCTTTACCGCCTAGCACGCGGTAAATCAGCACTTAAAATTGCAATTAACAATTTCATTACCGGCGGGGATCAAACCCGGGTTGCTCGTTAAAAACTTGTGACCTAAAATATTAATATTCAAATGTGTTGTTTATTCCATATAATATGTATTTGTATCTATATGAAATATCTGCAGTTGTGCGTTTTGTTTTTTGCGTATTCAAACTTATAAGCTTATAACACACAAAAGCAAGTTATATGCTAGTTTAACATTTTAACATTACAGACTATTAAAAATCCCAATCCACTGCAGATCATAGGCCTGCCCCATTAATTGCCTTATAAGATGTTAACTATAGTTGCCACGCTTGGCAAGCAGGTTGGCAACCGCAGTTCGTTCAGTTTCATTCAGTTTTTAACATGAAGATGCTGCTGCCCATCTCCTGGTTTAGTTTCCCTTGGTCGCCTCTTACGGCACCCACGGGATGATATCGTGTAGTGAATAGTTTTACACCGCCGCTACTTGGGTCTACAGTAATCTATATAATTTTATCACTCGTATCATCGTCTTTTGAAATCCAGTTCTGATATTACCCCTTAGATTGTAGGTTCTTACCGAGTTTGTGTTTTGAGGTTATACACTTTGAGACCACCGGCCTACTATTGAGCAACTGAGTTCCGATTACTGATGCCGGAATACTATAACTGTTTATTGCAATTGGTAACAAAAATCAAACACGTAAGGAAACCTACATAACTACCTACGTGTTATATAGGGTATGTTCCGAAACGTTTTCAGTATACCGCCGAATATAAATGACGTCATCAATTGACACTATATTGTACTGGCGTGCCGCCGCCATATTGTGTCTGATATCCGGCCATAATAAAACAATTTTTAATTGTGTGTGCGCTGAATGAAGCATGCCAGAATTTGTTTTTAGTTATTCAAATACAAAAAATTATAGAATAATTTCTGGTATCTCCATTAAGAGGATATAATGATTTCTGGAGCACAAAATGACAAAATAATCGCCAACACTTTTCCAATATGTCGTAAATGTATGACGTCATACACTGTCCTATGTTTTGGAACGAATCACCAGTATAGCGTCGACTCATGACGTCATTTGCATTGAACAGTACACTGGGAACTATTTTGGAACATACCCATAATATAGTTGTTATACCACATGACGTTTGAAGTAAGTCAATCGCAAACACGGCACGCGTTGAAGCAGCGCGGGGAACACTTCTCGCTCGATTATCTTCCCAATACAATACTTTATTTATTTATTGCTTGTTTTACTTTACTGCGTTCATTGCACGTAGGTTAGTGTGACTGATACGCAATGACGGCTTTAGAGCAGAACGTCCAATGATGATCCACTAATAAACTGATAAAGCCAACCCGGGTTACAATTTGGGACTACATCACTTCTTATGACTTCATCAGGTGTACACAAGTATGAAATAAAATAGAGGGGGAAAGAAAAGCGTATGGTTACGGCCAGTTCTTTTAATTCTCAATTAGTGCAGATGATTTGTCGTCATCGCCCTGCTACACCTGACTGGATTAATGACGATCGACCGATCCAAAGATAAGACATCTAGCTGTTTTTGCTGTATACGAATACGAGATGATCACATAGCCACCTATCGGAGGCCATAAAAGTTTCCTATAATTACTCTTGATCGACGATTCTTATCTGTCGTAAGAGATCACAGAAAGAGATAGAAAGATAACTTCAACGTGGTAGAACCACGCTTCAACTGTATTATGGTTGTGGAACGAATGGGTCGGCTTGACCGAGGTAGGACCACGCTCTCACAGAATACCAGCGTAAAATAGCAGATCAATGCTATATTTCGTATTGTGAGTGTAGACAACTGGAGATCATTTTTAGTGGATACGAGGCATTCCATCTTAGTCCTCAGGGGTGACAACGCATATGCAATTTGATTCTTAATCGAAAATTAGTGGGCCACAGCAACTACTTACTATCAAGTAGACTGTGTGCCTGTTTGTCTCCCTTTTTCCAAAAAAAAACCCTTTCTACTTGAATCCAAGCATTCCATCTTAGTCCTCAGGGGTGACAACTCATTTACATTTTTATTCTTAACCGAGGATAAATGTAGATCTTTATGGACACTAGGTTCTACTAACCAACTGGTGGACTGAGTGTTCGTTTGTCACCCTTATATATTGGAAAAAAAATAGACCAATCATAGTTTTGAAAAATTAACGTGAATTAATGTGCTATTTTCATCACTTAATATTGGTATATTATATCTGTTATAGCTTTTTGTTAATCTTCTTCTGTAAGTCTTTTAATTATTTTAGGGTGATTCTGGAAATGCTTTGGTTTCAAAGGAATCGGGTTATCAAATCGGTGTAGTGTCGTGGGGCCTGGCGTGCGCTGTTGGAGCTCCGGATGTTTTCGCCAGAGTCAGTGCTTATAAGGACTTCTTGCTGTCTATTCTAAAGAATTATTTATAAAAGCTAGCGAAACATATAAATAGCGGTTAATATTTATGACAATAAAAAGATCGATATCTAAAACGTTGTTTTAATATTTATCCATTATAAATGTTGGTAATTTTAGGATTTTCGGACGTATTTCTAGAAAGCATACAGCAATGTCAACGAATACTAGCGCAAATTTCAGACCACCAGACCAAAGATAATGACAACAGATACTAACCTCATTTGAAATCGTGGAGCCGTTTTGCAAACATAAATACGAAACAATTATTTATATAATTAGGCATCCGCCCCGGATGCTCGTGCTTACGAGAACTGTACAATACGAGGCAGTCAACAACGTATAATGTACTATCTCTACATAATAATACGTTTAAAATAAGTGGAGGCCCCGGGAGCTCCCGATACTGCCCGTCTCTTCAACCAGGGATAACTCTCAAGGTTACAGCATTTTGATTCTCAAGCCTAATGGAACTGTAGAAGCCTTCTGTCCAACTTAACATGGGACGGGTATAATCTAATCTCTGTAGCAATCAAATGAGTCGCCATAACCGACTACGGCAATTTCTGAACGAAAGGCGAGGTCGAAACGCCTGTTCGAAAAAGTTAAATGTTGCATCCTTTTACACGTTAACAATGCTTTGCCGCTCACCGTGAACGACATAAAGTTATTTTTGATTTCAGAAAAGGAGGAGCTCGTGACCCATCACACCCCCTACACAGTTCAGATCTCGTACCTTCGTACTTGCGACATTTTATTAAAAAAATTAAATATTGATGAGAGGTTTGACATACGGAGTCAGAAGAGACCGTATAAGCTTGTAGCAAGCACGTGAAATACATGCCCAAAGAACTGGTTTCAAGTTTTCAAAAATGATTACAACGAATGAAAATGTGTTAAAATTATATTGAGAATACTTTGATAAGCCATAAATATATTAGTTTAAATATACGAATAAATTGTTTTATTTATGGTCTTCGCAAAAATTTTAATGTACGTGTGGTACACCAAAGTACCTCACGTACCTATGTTCCTTATATATTGATAACTTTTAAAATCAGTTTTGGAAAATCAAACTATTGTAAATGTAATCTAATATGTATGTTGTAAATGTAAATCTTTATTTACATTTACAACATACATATTAAATTTACATACATATTAGATTTACATTTACAAGCTATTAGATTACAAAACAAATATCGTCATCATTTCTCGAACCCGTGTAAAATACTCACAAATGACTTTCAATATTTTTTACTCTGCTGTGATAAGAAGAAGCGACATCGTCAAAAAGCAGAAGTTTCGTCCTTGTCTGACTTGACGTTCATATATTTCATAGGTTAACGACCCATTTTCGTGATTAATTATTATGCTGTTGATTTCGTTATCGCTTAAGAGGTTTTGTAAGTATTTATTTATTCAAAATAAGATTTATCTAATTGAAAGCCCACTGATCACGAGTTCCCGGTTCGAAGCCCAGGGAAATATCAGTTATTGAGTCAGGAATTTGACGCTATTTCACCTAAGTGCTTCGGAAAGCAAGTAAAGCCGTTTGTGTTGCGCTTGATTTCTCTCTTTTCGTGTCGGATCGCTGTCCCATTGGTTAATGAGACACTTGGGCTTAAAAATCCTTCCCTGCGCAAATGGCTAGTCTCCGTCTTTCTGTTTAGACTCACCGCCGTGACATCTTGAAGATAATAATATAAATATAAAAGACCACATAGTTCTCCTTATGATAAGTGGATACTGTGGTCTAAAGAGCAAAGGGAACTTTTATTGAATTTGAATACAGATGCATTGTCTCACCGAGACCGACTTGGACGGGATACCAAAACAATAAAAAAAATTACCAAAACATTGTTTCAGAAAACTTTCTCTAAATGTCACTTACGGTATGAAACATAGAAGCGTTTTTTAAATTATATGCCAGTGCTAGGCTACAATCCCTCCTGTAGGTAAGCCGTGATGAAGCCCTAGATGGTAAGTCACACAATATACTCGTAAGAGTATCAAAAGTCTATTCACTCTTGCTACGAAGACACACAGATTGTAATCGGATGCAAATGTCGGAGGTCCTCTTCAGACTAGGAATCCTTATGGGGTAGGTATCACCGTCTTACCTATTTCTGCCGTCAAATAGCGGTGCAAGCACTGCTGTGTTACGTTCTGAAAGGTATACACTGCCAGAGAGACATTCCATCTTAGTCCTCAGTTCACCTGAGCTCACTTCACTTAAAAAAGACAGATGTCGGCAAATTATTTCACTGCCTTGTACGCAATACAAAAGACGAAGCAGTTCAGTATTGAGAGAGACTTTGTTTTCACAAACCATAGCCATGACTAATATTCTACTGTATATTTATCGCAAGTTATGTAGAATTCCTCTCATTCTGAATTGTAATTGCAACCTACCAAATATATTTAGTACAAATGTTCTGTGTTGCTGTCACTAATTCCATCTCCTCTTGGCAAAAGGCCCGAAAATATAACCAGAAAATGAACTCTTTTTACGTTAAATTGCTAATTGAGACTATTAGTTTTCAAAATAAACGTAGTTGAACCTTATTCTGTGATATTGTAAATAGCAGACATTAAAATCAAGTTCATGAACTTTAATGTTTTTGTTTCATCACTGATTATTTACTTTCTTTATCATAATTAGACAACAATAAGGTTTCTTAAAGTCACGCAAAATGTAACCCGACAATTCGTTTTTTGCCCAAAAATAATCTCTGATACGAAAGATAGTGACTAATTAGTTGTCCTATATAAATGGACTAATTTCAAATGAAGGCGCAAACACAACTGTTTTGTTGTTGTTTTGTTTTGTCCAAGTGCAGTTTATGAATGTAAAACGCCACCACGGTTCTATATCGAAAAGAAAGTTCTAGTGTGTTCTAGAGTGAAAACTATTAAACTATTTTTTGGTTTCAAGTTAGAATATAATATATTTATATTACTTGTGGTATGTAGATAAAGAAATAAAAAATAAATAAATAAAAGGTAGAAGATATTTATAAACAAACATGACAAAGTACCTGTGGTTACTTTTCAATCTCCCCATTTTATTTACAAGTTATCTGCTCTGCAGGAACACCATTGTGTTGCAATTAAAAATAAATTAAAAGGAAATGTCTGAATAATTACATACAAACACAGACTGAAAGTGCAAATTTATGTTGATTGACTTACTGGTTGTAGAATATGTATCCTTTATTTATTTATGCTGTTCTTTCGACACGTAATTATTGCACAATGTGCCAATTTTTAAATAATTTGCATGCAGCGACTGTTAGTCTACACGGCTCCGCACAGTTTATTATACTCGTATACTTATATATATATATATATATATATATATATATATATATATATATATATATATATATATATATATAGTATTCTATGAGAAAAATGGTAAGGTTTTCGCCGGTTAAAATTAAAATAGATGATATCCAATCCTAATTAATTCCACGCTTAGGAAGTCGCGGAGAACAGCTGGTTTTTACCAGACTGATCGCACCGCGAATATTCCTAAATATTTTTCTCTTTTAATATTTTATATTTTTTTTTCATACAGTAATAACAATTTTTAGGTTTCAAATTTAGTCTTGTAAAATCACTGACCTCTATATATACAGCGTACATGTAGTATATACAACACGTAACATAATTAACGCACTTTGAGAAAGTACTTTGCTCAGAATCGTTTACTGAATCGATTCCTATCATTTTTAATGTAGGTAATTTTTTATCTCAAAAATAATTAAAACTACGTAAATTACAGTCACGCTATATCTATACAGTCAAAACAAACTGAAATGGACCGTAACTTAAGGCAATAAGACTTTTAAGAGTGCAGTTTTATTTGTATTATTATTACTAATTCTGTCATTCAATAAAAATAAAGAAAAATGAACTTTATTTCAAGCACGTTTGCGTTCGTGGATTTGTACTGTGACCACAACATTCTTCCGAAATTAGTATAACTAATTTGATAAATAATCAGTGCATAAAAATGTTTAACTAAAAATTCAGTGTATCATCATCATCATCATCATTACAGCCCTTCACAAGTCCACTGCTGAACATAGGCCTCCCCCAAGTAATGCCACAAAGCACGGTCCTGAGCCACCTGCATCCATCGACTTCCTGCATGTCTTACCAGGTCGTCACTCCATCTAGTGGGGGTCGCCCTACACTACGCCTACCGGTACGAGGCTGCCACTCGAGAACCTTTCTTCCCCATCGGTTATCGGTTCTTCGAGCTATATGGCCGGCCCATTGCCACTTCAGCTTACTAATCCGTTGGGCTATGTCGATCACTCTGGTTTTACTGCATATATCCTCATTTCTGAGTCTATCACGCAGAGAAACTCCAAGCATAGCCCTCTCCATAGCTCGCTGAGCGACCTTAAGCGTCCTCATACGGCCAGCAGTGAAGGACCACGTCTCAGATCCGTAAGTCATCACTGGCAACACGCACTGGTTGTACAATCTAGTTTTTAGAGATTGAGGTATACCTGACGAAAAGATATGTCGTAATTTCCCGAACGCTGCCCAGCCGAGTTGAATCCGTCGATTGACCTCTCGGTCGAAGTTGGACTTACCTAGTCGGACTATTTGTCCCAGGTAAACGTACTCGTCAACAACTTCGAGCATAGTGCTCCCAACAACTACCGGCATAGGTGTGACATGGACATTAAACATGATCTTTGTTTTGTCCATGTTCATCTTAAGACCTATCCGTTGGGAGGCACTATTGAGGTCATTGAGCATAATGCTTAAGTCCTCCAGCGATTCTGCCATAATGACTATATCGTCGGCAAATCGAAGGTGAGTGATGTACTCGCCATTGATGTTAATACCGTATCCTTTCCAGTCCAGTAGCTTGAAAACGTCTTCCAACGCAGCGGTGAAGAGTTTCGGGGATATAACATCACCCTGTCTTACACCTCTCTGCAGTTGGATAGGTTTCGAACTCTGGTTCTGTACTCGGATAGCCATCGTA